TGCGAGCTGGTGCGTTATGTGAATGACTGGAGGGTGTTGCTCTTTGTTTGGTGATTCGCATAGCGAATCTGGGCGCTGTGCGAAAGGTGGTTGCCTGGGAAAATGCTAGTTTAATTCGAATAGCGAATTTGGAGCGCTATGCGAGGGTTTAGGGTCTCATAATGTGTAGCAGAATTTTCAGTTTAGCTAAGCGCACATACTTAGTGCGCTGAGCAAATGGACTTTAGCTGAGCGCACAGGCTTAGTATGCTGAGCGAATGTGAGTGAGTAAAATCCATTGTTTTCGTTATTCGCACAGCGAGTTTGGTGCGTTGAGCAGCTTGCCCAGAACCTGTTTTTATTCTTTTTATTCTTGTTTTCTGATAACCTTGAATTATGTTTTGATTATTAGAAAGGTGTAGAAGTATCTATGATAGTGTATGATCAGTGAGGTTATATGTTTGGATTCAATGTGATAGTATTATGGTATTTGGTTGTTCATGTCTTGAGTTAAGTTTCAAAGTGACAGTATGGTTGATGGACGTAATTCCATGGATCTCAAAGGGGGTTACATGGTGGTGCCCTATGTTATTGGACGTAATTCCATGATCCTCAAGGAGGGGATCCATGGTGGTGCCCTTAGTATGTTTAGAATGAATGCAGGAGCTCAGTCTTGGGGGTTATCCTGAAACTACAATGGTCAATCATTCTCAAGTAGAAAGGATTGAACCATGTCGTGAGTAGTAGCAAGAGGTCCTAGTCTTGGGTGCTTCCAGTATGGCCCAAGGTGAGTGATAACGGACTAACCTCGTGAGTGTGGTAGGGTGAAACCCATTGGCAATGACTTTGCAAAGCAGTAGAGGCCACCACGAGTGCATAACCCGCCATAGCTTGTCAATCATTCTAAGTCCGGACGAGTCAAGTTAAAAAGTGTAACAAGCTGTATTAAGTGACTATGTATATGTGAATTAAATTGCAGGTTGTGTGTGACTGTTATAACATGATTTTTGTATATCTAGCTCACCCTTCTGCTTGTTTTGTGTCTGCTTGTGTGTGGTGTGTCATTTTTGCAATGATCATTCATTTAGGTGTGAGCAGAGGTAGGTGAAGTGCCTTTGGAGCAAGCTTTGGAGGGAGATGATGCTGCAGCTTAGTCTAGTTAGGACTCTTAGTTGTTCCCTATCATTTTGAAATATTGTAATGAGTTTAAGTTTTAAATTATGACTTCTGTTTTGGGATGACGGTAACCTTAATACTTTATTTACAGTCTTATTCTAACTGTTTTCTTATATTAAAAATGTGGACAGCTATATTATATATTTATATATAATCTGGAATGTTAGAGAAACTATCAATAATTTAAAATGTTTATTAATAAAAATAATGTTAATATTTGTCATTATAGCATAATATTTATTTATATTAATTATAGATATTTTATTGCTCTTTTAATTTTTATATTAATTAATTTATTCATTCCACTTCATTGATAAAAATAATTTTAATTATAGAAAAATATTTATTTTAAATTTTTTTTCTTTTAAAGTATAATATTTTTTCAACATTAATTGTTGATGTTTTATTATTCTCTTAGTTTTTATTGATAAAAATATTTATTATAGAAAAATATTTATTATAAATTTTTTGTTATAATATTTTTTTCAACATTAATTATTGATGTTTCATTATTCTTTTAGTTTTTATTGATAAAAAATATTTATTCTAGAAAAAAAATTTATCCCAAACATCTTTTATAGTATAATATTTTCTTTACCGTCGATTATTAATATTAAATTACCTTTTTTAATTTTTATGCTAATTAAAAAATTAATTCATTTAAATTTTATTAATGAAAGTAATTTTAGTTATAGGAAAATATTTATCTTTAATTTTGTTTCTGTTACAGTGTAAGATTTTTCTTTCATCATTAATAATTGATATTTTATTTCTCTTTTAACTTTTGTGTTGATAATTAATTAATTCATTTAAATTTTATTTATAAAACTGATTTTTATTGAAAGGAAACATTTATCTAAATTATATTATAAGATTTTTTTCACAATTAAATTTTTTCACAATTTTCTTCAAGTCAAAATTCAAATATAAATAGAGGTTAAAGTGTTGTTGGAAGAAAAGATGTTATGAGAAAATATTTTTGCAAAACATCATTGTAAAGAAAAAGGAATCATCAAATTATAAGAAGATGAAACTTAATATAATATTTGAAGAAATAATTGATGATATTAATAGTTTTTCTTTTAAGAAAAAGGAACCATCAAATTGTAAGAAGATGAAACTTAATATAATATTTGAAGAAATAATTGATGATATCAGTAGTTTTTCTTTTAATATTTCATTCTAATTTTATTAATAGTATTTTTATGTTACTTGTTCATTACTTTGTGTTTGTGTGTTATTTATTTTAAGAATTAAGTGGTCAAATTGAAAATATTGATGACAAAAACATAAATATTAGATTATAATATTATAAAAATTATTTTTTAAATTATTTCTAATTGAATGTATGTTTTAAGTACATAATTTTTATTTGGTTTTCCTTTGAATTTATATTTTTTTTGTTATAATTTTATTTGGATTTCATTTTAAAACCTTTTAAAATATTTTTTTTTAAATATTTATGGGTATTTATGGATATCCACACATTTAAAAAAAAATGGAAATATTCTTCAAACAGTATCCAACCAGTAATAAAACAAGTAATGAGACAAATTTTTTAATACAAGTCAAATAACGGGTATATACTATTTGTACTTGACCTTACTCATTGTTATTTCTAGTTCTATATAATATAGTTTTGGAAAATGTATCAAATAACAATCTAAAATAATTAGGTGTGAATCATTCTATTTCCTGATTTTGAGGATAAAAAATATTATGTAGTATTAACATCAATCCAACAAAATTAGAAGTTAGCTGCCTAAGTACCGAGTAAATATACACACAATTTTTTAGAAAAAAAAATACAGTTTTATAGCTATTTTACCTATTGATTTATAAGTTTATTTAACCTTGATTGAAACTATTAACAAATGAATAAATCTCCATATTTTTTTTCTTAATTACTTTGAGGGTCTCCACTTTGGTAGGAGTGTGTCACCTTAGTCTCCACTTTCAATTTTGTGTCAATTTTGTTCTCAAATTCATTAATGTGCATAAATCAAGTCCTTCCAGTTAACTTTCTAGAAAAGATGCTAAGAGTGTGGTGATGTGGTAAAGGACAACATATATGTGTCAAAAAATATTTAATTATACAATGGAAATGAGGTTGTTTACATGTGAAGTTTTTACTTTTAATGGAGAAGGTTGATGTTTTCCTAATGAGTGGTTTGGGGTCTCTATTTTCTTATTCTCCTTCAGAGTTCGGTTGATGAAGTGTGATCCTAAGCGGGTGATGGTTGAGGAAGGTTACAATGTCTTGCAATTAAGGTTGTTCATCTTGCTCATGGAGGACATAAAACCACGATGTCTTCTCTCTTGGTAGTTGGTCTAGGGGCTTAAGTGGAACACCAGTTTACCATTGTGTGGAGGTTATAGTGTTTAGAGTGGCTAAAAGTTAAGAATGGTGGAAAAGAATTTTGGGATGGCCCTAACTATAAGGTTTGATTTATGTTTTTAATTTTCATTCAACGCATATATATTTATAGTTAATGAGTGTTTCATGTTAATAAAATATTTGTTTTTGTTGGATTTTTTGAACAATGGAATGGAAATGATGATTTTAAAGGGTGTAATAATTTCAAATGCTGAAATGAAGATAACAAGGATGTTATTGGTAAACAAAGGAGAAAAATCTATAATCTAGAAAAACATTTTATGGTTTCTAAAAAATGGGTTAAGTTGTTAACAGGGATGATATGTTTTGTGAGTTTAATTAACATAATCATTGTTGTTGGTATGTTGTTTAAAATTTCATGAAATATTGTAAAAGTGACATTTCTTGTCATTAGCAAGCTATGTACTTTGTGGATTGTAATAAGTGTGATGTACTTGGTTGTATTTTTTTGTAATGTGTTCTTATTAAATGAATGAGAAGTTTGAGCAATGTATAAATAAGCATAAAAGTTAAATTCTATTGCAAATACACATGATATTAATTCCAAATAGATTCATAAAAAGCATTGTTCTTCAAAAGACACAAGCTGCTAAGCAATATATGTACATATCCTAAGCAAAATAAGGTGCATAATACATATTGAAGTTACAAATATATGTCTTCCAAAATAGGCCAAAATGCACAGTGAAGTTCCAAGTACATATGGCAGCTGCAAAATGTACACAAATAAAGTTTTATGGCTTCCAAACCGGGCCCCTCCTATATGATAATTTCTCTTTAATGATGGATTTTATAGTTGGCTAAATTTGTTGGGTCTATTGAAGTTGGCATGTAGTAATCTGACTTCCTTCAGATGATATTGTTGGGTTTGTTGAAGATTGTTAAGCTCCTTCAGGATGTTTAGGAGGTGTGCTTGTTGGGTTTGCTTGGTATGAAACCAAATTTGACTTTTAATTTTCGTATGAACCCAAATTTTCGCATAACACAATCTTTATGTGCCACATTTACATAAATTATCACGAAACCATGTCTAAACAGTCAACGTTAAACAATATAAAACAAATTGACTAATGCACATTAATAAATTTAGAGGCGAAATTAACACAATTAAAAACAAAAACCAATTTGACACTTCCACCAAGTGAGAACCATCAAAATAAGTAAGCCTATACTTTTTCTTTCAAATGCGGCCTAAAGTAGCCTTTTTGTCTTTTATATATGGATATTATTTTGTAATAATATATTTTGATGTAACAATAAATTATTTAATGATATTCATAATGCACTCATTTTTGTTTTTGGTACAACAGTAATAGTAATGAAGTTTCAAGCCCCCCTAACTGAGTGTGCCAAGACTTTCACAGGATACAGAAAAAAAAAATGTCTAAGTTTCCCGTAAACAATTCAAGCACTGGCCTATTTCTAGTATCTTTGTACTGCACTCACATGAACAATTAAATCCATTTTAGAAAATCTATACCAATTTCTTCTGTTACAAATGATGTTCAACTTTTTGACACCCTTGGATGGGAGACACGTTATGCGATTCCTAGAGGGGCAAGTTCATACAATAGAGGTCGCAAGGTACAGCTTCCTCGTGATTTCTATGGATGCAAACCACTTCCCAAAGGCAAAAGACCAAAAGTGTAACAAGGATACAAGACTGAAATCCAAAAGATATGTAGAGGATAAACTGCAGATTCTTCGTTTATGAAGCCACTGGCTGATTAACTTTATTCAGAATCAGAACCAGTAATTGTGGAGGATTTAACTACTCTGCGTGTACTGTCAAGATATTCATCATCTTCATCATCCTCATCTTTTTTCTCGGCAATTATACCTGTCAAATGACAGTTAAGAAACTTTCCAGTCCCTAAGAAACGAAAAGGTTAAGTAAAAGCACTACCTTTCTTTATCAGCAGAGCCTCCAGTGTTCTTGTAGTAAAATCATCTTTCCCTCCCAGATCTTGAAATCCTACCAATCTATCTACTGCAACTCCTTGTCTGAAGAAAGAAACAGCCAGCCCTTAGCCATTATACTGATATAACAAATCAATATTATCCTCATTTGTAATATATACTCTGTCAGAATAGTTCCTGTTTTTTTATCAGCAAAGAATATCCATATATACACGAAAGACTAGGGGTGTCTCAACCCTTTTACAAATTTGTTCCTAACAAAGATATAACAATTACACTTAACAAAATCACATTTACTTTTACTACCTTTGTTACAAAACACCAGCTACAGATATTGCAATGTATCCCTGTTTTCCCAGCTATAATTGCCTCTATTTTATGAATGAGAGTTATGCATTGCATGGCAGCACAATGCAACCCTTAACGCTGCAGTAATTGTAGAGAGCCTTTCAATCTAAAATAATTGCTTCATGCGGTATAACAAAATCTAGGGTTACTGCAACAATGATTCCTAGAGTATATGGAAACTCAATTACTAGGAATAAAACAATCCGGGAGTATGGTGAATGGACTACCAACGACTGGGAATGGAAAATGGAATGGAGAAGAGATTGGTTCAAGTGGGAATTGCCTCAATTTAAGGAGTTTAGACAATTGTTAAATCAAACACAAATATAGAGAGAATGAGAATACCTTTGGGTATGGAAGGATGAGGAACAAAAATTCACATCATACTGAAAACTGAAAACTCCATTTCTCGGGAAAAATTCTGATATGTTTAACTTATTTTGGAGTATAAAGCAGCTCCAACACCACAACATTTCACTTGGAGGGCAATGCTGAAGGAAATAGCAACAAAGGAAAATTTGAGGAGGAGAGGATCACAATTGTCGCAAACATCATGTCCTTTATGTGGATTGATGGAGGAAAACACAACCCAGTTATTCTTAACATATAATATTGTAAACAGAGTGTGAAATTTGTGTAATAAATGGGCGGGTATATGTTCAATGCAGTATAATCAGTTAGATATGCATTTCCAACAATTCTATTTATTGGGTTTGAGCAACAAAGGAAATAAATTATGGAAGTGCTTATGGATTTCTATCATTTGGAACATATGGAATCATACGAATAGGATTGTATTTAGACAAGGAAAAGTGGATCTAGAGGAAATTTTTACTTTGGCACAATTAAAAGCTTGAACATGGATGAAATACAAAGACTAAAATGTTTTTTTCTCTTATAATGATTGGAATCTATACCCTGTTGAATGCAGGAAATTTGTAACCTAGTATCCTCTACTCAGAATCTAATGTGGAGGAAGTCAATGTTCTAAAATCCAACTTTCTTGTCTAGAAGTCTTTATTGCTTTTTGCAGATCTTGACAGAAGTAGATTCACTATGGGGTTAGAGCTTTGGGCGTACAGCACGTCCGAATAGTTCCTTGACAACAGAATTTTATTTCATCTGGGATTACTTTGCCACATTACACCTATTAGCTTCTGTGTTGATCTTTTTTAGAAGGGAAGGGGGTGATATTGAAGATAAAGATTGTTTTAGGATTTTAAACTCCATTCTCATCTTTCTTTTAGACCTAACGGAAACAATAACACACTCATTAATAGTGAATCACTCAATTGACCAAGATCCAAAAGCCACAGATTTAGGCCTCACCTGAACAGTATGACACAAGGCAAAGTCTTGACAGCCAGTTTTGTAACAAAGAAAGGCGCATTCTGCATTTCATTTTCAATAGTGAACTCCATTCAATTTCTTTACCAAGTCAAACAATTGGATTAATAAAACATGTCAAAAGATACAGTTACATCCATAGAATGGTTCGTGCTGACCTCTGCATCAAGCTTGATGAATTTTGTATCAATATGCTTTGGCGCAAGGGACTTTAAATGCTTATCAATTATCCTGGAAATATAACAGACACATGTATCCTTGTATGTCAGAAATTGAGACCGAAAGATGTAGAGCCACAAGGAATAATAATATTAAGTCAATAACATACTTGCATCTATAGAACTCCTTATGGTAGAAGTGACAAATCACCTTTTCACTTCCAGTGACTTCGCCTAAGAAATCACCCTCTGTTACTTCCCTGTATTCTCCATGACCTTTCTTCTTCCATTCCTCTCGCTTCTCTACTTCTTTCTATTGAAGACAAATTAAGTTGTGAATAGCAAAGAAACTTGTAAACAGAACAAGTAAAAACAAAAATTTGAACATCATTTGCATCTCGGTACTTAAGTAGATTGCCACCTTAAGAGCTGCAATCCTTTCTGCATGCAACTTTTCCAACTCAGGATCCTGAAATCGGCATAGGGTAGACCCGTTACTGAACGTATATGATGAGATTGAAAGGTTTTCAAAGCACACATATAAAACGAGGTTGAAAGGTTTGCAAAACATACATCCATCAACTCATCAAGGTCAACCTCCTCATTTACTGAACTTGATGCCCCGGCCTTCTGTTGAGCAAGCAATTCCTGCAGTGATCATAGCATGTGTAACGTTACATCAGTATGTAGCTGCTGACACAAGATTTATACACAACAACAATCATCAGAAGAAATTTTGCAAAAATGTTAACATATATGAGCAACAGTAAGCCTCTTTACAAATAAACTTTTTATAAGCACTTACAGGAGAAGAAAACAAGTGAATAAAATGAATTGAGCTTTTCACATAAGCTAAACTTAACTTTTATAGAAGTTATTTACGTTTAGCTTGAACCTCTCCAAAAGCTAAGGTTCATAAGTTGATAGAAGCTTATGGAAAAGCTCAACACATTTTATAATCTTACTTTATTCTCTTATAAGATTTTATGGATAAGACTATCCAAAAGCACGACTTCAATTATATACAACAAAATACTTTCAAGAAATTAGTGCGAAAAGTATCCATGCATTTGGGGAGTCCACCCTCAAAAGCTAGCTGAAGAGGGAAGAACCAAAAACTAAATAGCCCACCAAGCATCCCAAGCTACTCGATGTGAGACTTAGTCACCTCAAAATACTCAAGTTCCTAACGTAGACTTCAAAAACTGTCCCAAAAAGCAGAGTATTAAACTATTTACCATTGCAAGTTTCTTAAACACAGCATTATTCCAAATTACCAGCATTAGTAGTTCAATTTTATTTGCGACTGAAGAAAACACTTGAAAATGACTGGCCAGGTTCAAGAAGTGAAAAAAAAATTATAATATGATAACATTCTCCATTTAAAATATACAAAACATGATGCAATGTAGGATATTAGTTCCATTAATCTTTGTAAGCATATGACCATCAAATGATGAAAATGAGCATCGAAAAAGGAAGAATGAATTGCGTTATAACCTAGGTTGTCACGAACAACCACATGAATTGTGTGGCATGCATAAAATTAGCTTCTCCGATATTACGCACATATCACAGAGAAGTTCTGTTTCCTTTTATGCGAATCGTGAAGGTAATAACATTGTGAAGTGAAAATTATTGAATTACCTTCTGATAATCACGGGCAGCTGCTGCCATTACGTTTCCAAAAGCCAAATTGGACAGAGTGGACTTCACCGCGTTCGGATCCATCTTTGTTATCTACAAAAATGAAAATCAGAAATTCATGGTAATAATAATAATGATGATAATAATAATTATTGAGACGCAAATTAGAGTTTGTTCCCACATTTAAGATTGGTGGGAAGACGCAAGGGTCTTTTCGATGAGTAAGGTAGAAAAAGTCGAGAACCGAGAAACTTGTTCAAAAATTGAAGGAAGCAGAACTTGAAGGTTTTCTGCGATGTGTTTGTTTCGTTCCTTTCGTTGATGGAAGCTGTACCTGCTACCTGCGTAATCCACTAAGGATGAAGACGGGGAACGGACGTGGGCTGGGCTAGGTTCAGCCCGGCCCAAAACTTCAAATCCTTGTTGAAAAGATGATGAAAAATGTTACTAATAAAAAGTTACATAATTTCTTTCTTGGTTAAATTAATTAGAAATTATAGAGGGTGATCTAGCCTTTTACTTAGTTATTATCGTTTCATAATTTTTGTAATCTTTAATCAATAAATATTACTAGTATAGTTATTTAACTCAAATTGGGGATATTTGATATGTGTACAAAAAAAAAGAGAGTAAGATTTCGAATTGTCTACGTGGAATACGAAAATATGAATTATTTATGCAATCATGATTAGGAAACACAAGTTGGTGCTCTTATGTTACTCAAAACATGCAAATTTAATTATTAAAGTAAGAACCTAGATAAAGAAAAAATGTCATACAAAAAGTTCTTTATATTTTAATAATGTACAATCCAGTTGCGTCTTTTTTATAGAATATATATAAAAGCCAATTCATAAGTATAGAAGAAAAGGATTAAAACATGAAAAAGGTTGTATATTTTGAAATACTCGAATACATCGTTAGTGGGTACAATTTATTATGAGTAGAAAGAAATTACCATTATCTTATAAAAAGAAGTAAAATTGAAAGTAAGTTTAGACCAGCATCAAGCATGAGTAAATAAAGGTATCTCGTTGTTTGAAATAGGACATATTTGAGTATTTTTAAAGAGTTTGTAATTAATTTGTATAAAAATCAATTTATTTCAATTGTATTTTTTATAAGTGATAATTGGCATCTATATTCATAACTTTTTAAGATTATATTAGATGTAATTATATAACATTTTTATTATTTTTAACTTTAATTGTGCTGATTTAAATTTAGTTTTGAATAAATTACTCTTTAAATTTAAATATGGTTTATATTTTCTTTCGTATATTATCTTGATTATATTTTTTATTAGTTTTGAAGACATTGAACGTAAGAAGCTCAAATTTCTCATGAATATAAAAAAATTAAAAAACAATTGTTTGTACTTAGACTCTATATGACTTTCTTTGTAACTAAGGTTGGACTTAAAAAGATAAAGAATAAGTTTTTATGAGGGTTTAAGTTACTTTTCTTATACAACTTAAGCACTTCCATTCAAAACTCATTAGAAGACTCAATTTCTCTCTAAGATTTTTTTTCTAAATTTTATGTTAATAAACTTCGAAATTTGGAAAAACTTTTATTTTTAAATTCCTCATTTACTTTTATTGCTATTTAATGTAATTGTATGGAAAAAATTTAGTTACGAATTAAAAAAAAGTTAACCAATAAGTTTTGTGCTTACAAATAAGATAAAGAGGATTGATAATCACTAAAACTTTTATTCTTATGTATTGATAATTGATAATAGAATTAAGAAACATAAATTCTTTCAAATAAGCATTAAACTTAAAATTGGTTAAAATAATAATATGGTATAATTTTGGTTATGATTAGAGTGTAAACTAAGTTAATTTAATAATTGTCTTAATTTTATTTATATTTTTTCCTACAGTGCAAACTAATGGTTTGATTTTTTTTTATTATTTTCACTTTTCAGTCTTGTTGTTCTAAAAATATATTAATTCTTTTGGTTAAAACATATTTAGTGAAAAATCTAGAATAAAGATGGAATTATCACAATCACTCATGTAATAAAGTGCATTGAGTTTTTTCATAGGAATTATCTACACTTCTCCACACAGTTGGAGAATCATTTTTGCAGATGAAAATGTTCTTGATCTTCATCATTCTTAAATCTAATTAAAAACATTGTTATAAGTTATTTTCTCAATCATTTCTCTACGAAGCTGCACTTGTTTATATTTCGAAGCACCAAGCAATATGGTGAAAGTGGGAGGTTCTTTCATCCTGCTCAACTGCCAATATTGTTACTAAAGTTATGCTACATTTCCTCTAAATCACATAGTCTGTCACATTGGCAACAAGAACATCAAAGATCGCATAAAGTGAAAACTAACAAAACATCATCACCTACATTATATGGTAGACACAACATTATTAGACCTTTCAAATAAAAAAAATGGTTCTAAGTTTATTGCAAAGTACGTGCTCTTCTCCCTCTCTTAGTACCCGTACTAGTTTTTCTCTTGCTGATACAAACTGCTCTTTTCTGCGTGGAACCAGCTTTGGACCTTTTAGATTGGTTAAGTTCTGTTTTATCTGAACCATCATTCTCAGACACATCACCTTCCATCTTCTTTCGCTTAAGCACCTTCAGGAATCCTTCTAGTGCAACCTCGGCATCTTCGCTCTTCATCAATTCCTCTGCCACTTGTGCTGGGGTTATGTGCGTGCCCTCTATCAGGCCTTCAATCTCCCCAAACAGGTGATGATCCCAAGAAACATCCAAGTAGTTTGAGGCCAAAACCTTGAACCCGTGGTAGGAGCAATAAGACATGTGAATGTGCATGTCCATTCTTCCAGGCCTCAACAGTGCCGGGTCAAGCCTCTCCTTGTGGTTGGTGGTCAGTATGATGATTCTCTCGTCTCCACAACTCGACCATAACCCATCTATGAAGTTCAGTAATCCGCACAAACTCAACTGCATCATCCATCACATCGTTTCAGAAATTATTGCATTCATTAAAATCTACCAAATAGTGTTAAGATAATGGATATAAACAGTGAAAGAATGAGGCTCTTCACTATTCGCACAAGACATTAGCCATTCAATATGTAGTTGTTGAGTGAAAGAATTGAGAAAAATACTTGAGAAGATGACCGACCTGCACATTAGGTTGCTTGCGTCCTTCTCCATGTCTTCGCCCCGGCAGATCAACACTACAATCAATGTCTTCAATCACCAGAATAGACCTATTTGCAGTTGCCAGCAACAACTTTCTGAGGTCAGAATCGGTGACTAAGTTGTCAAGTTGGAGATCATAGATATCGAACTTCAAGTAATTCGCCATGGCTGCGATCAAGCTCGATTTGCCGGTTCCCGGGGGGCCATACAACAGGTACCCTCGTTTCCACGCCCTCCCAGCCTTCCTATAAAACTCCCTCCTCCTCAAAAACCTATTCAAATCCTCCATTATGAGGTTCTTCATCTCTGCTTCCATAGCCACGGTCTCAAACGTTGAAGGGTGGTCCAAGTTAATGGAATCCCACATGAACCCTCCGTGACTATAGAAAGTGTTGAGAGTATGCATCTTCAACACCCTCTCCTCGTCCTTCATCTCCTTCTCTTTCTCAAGAACGAAAGGCAAGTAAGTTTCCACCACCATCTCCTTGTGCTTCTTCTCAAAGGTTAGCTCAAAGTACTTATTTTCTGTTCTGGTGGAGCTGTTTCTGGAGTGGTCATAGGAACCATTGCCCGTCTCGAACTCTGAGCAGATTAGATTCCAGTTGAGTTTAACCCCATGAAACAAATCAACCAGCTCTTCACCCTTTTCAAGTCTTATGGAGAGCTTTTTCTCCTTTGGAGTCTTGCTGACGCTTAGTCTCTCGTTTTGGGGGGTGATTTTTGTGGACAAGTAAACCTCCGCAGCATCGTAGAGATGGTTGCGCGCTATGCCGCCGGAGTACTCTTGGATAATGAGAGTGAGACTGTCGGAGCGAGGCTTGAAGAAGTAGCGGAAGGTGTTGATAAGGTATCCACGAATTGGTTGAGGAATGAGGTCGTTGGTTATTGAACGCAGAAGCATGATGGAAGCTGTCATGGAAGCGTAAGCAGAGAAGATTGAAGAGGGTGAAGCCATGGCCATGTCTCTAGAGGGAAATTTGGTGGTATTATGAGAGTGGTTGATTCTGCACAGAGACCACTGGGAAATTGAAACTAAATAAAAATTTCCGGTAAAAAGTTCGTGGAAAAATCTGTGTTATCTGTACCAAGTCATAAGGTTCATGAATGTATCTACAAACCATGATGAACTCTGCGAATATGCTTAAGCTTACTTTATTTCTTTTCGTCAGTTATTTATTTTTTTACCATTTTATTTATCGTTTTCTGTCAAATAATTGAATTAAACTGATTTTTAAGTTAAAGTAAAACGGTACTCTTTGAGTCAAAATAATAATATTATATAATTAATAAGAATAATCCCACGGCACAAAAATCCACCGTCCTAGGAAGGCATGTTGCGAAGCACACATGTTCCAGTTGAAAAAGACAAAGGAAATGAAATAGTGATTTGATTTAATATAACAAAGAAGAAAATGTATTTGTACACGAGAAAATAAGTTTTGGGATTTTATTTTCGTGCTATTCAGCGTAATAGAAATATTACAGAGATATTTATTAAGCTTTTTTATCGTGGAATAATTTCCACGTTTATTAAAATAATATTCACACATCATAATTAATTTTTCACAGTTTTATTATTATTTTATTATATTATTATTAAATATATAAAATATCATTTCAATATAAATATAAATTTATTATTTATGTTGATTGTATAAATATAATCAGTATTTTTAAAGTATTTATTTTATAATTATTCATATTTATTCGGTTTTTTAAAAATTTAAATTTTCTTATTAATTTGAACTGTGAGATAATCTTTTAAATTTATCGCAAATTTACGTTCATTGTTCCGATATGATTCCAGTAAGATGTTTTTACTGCGAAAAAAAAGAGAGATTTATCTATTATGGACGAGGATGGAAAAGTTGAAACATATATTTGTGAATTTAGGGGCAGCTTTATATCTAGTCTCTTTATAAAAAAAAAGTAAAAGAGGACGGTGCAAAAGCATCCTCTTTTATTATTGGTTTTGAAATATGTACCAGCCGACCAAATTCTACGACAAAAGCATCATTAAAGTTTTCGCAAAAGTTATATATAAAGAAAATAATAAATTAATGTACAATTTTCTTTTACAATATTTTCATTTTTTATTAAATTTAAAATATGTTAAAATACTAACAAATAAATAATAAATTAATAAAAAATAACACATATATTCTGCTAAAATATTGTTAAAAAAATTTATGTTAAAATATTTAA